TCGGTGGCGTTCCAGCGTCGGCTTCCAGTGAAAAGAGCCGTTTTCGGTGAAATGCCAGCGTCGGGTTTCATCGAGCTGATCTAAGCGATCGGCATGACGGATCTTGGCTAGTCAGGAAAGGTCAGTTTAGGTGAGCGGAGCGATCCCCACAGACCCCCACCTGGCCGTCCCTGAAGATGGACGTGAAAGGGACCTGCTGCTCTTGCCGATTGCTTTTGTGTCAGCTTCCCAAATTAATTGCTTTTCCGTCGTGAGAAGTACCACCTCTGCACGGGAAGTTAGCAGGAAGCCGAACGAAAGAGGTGCTGAGGAGGTTTCTGTGTGGCAGTTCTACAGCGAAGCACACAGGGGAAAGACTTACATCGATACTCAAATAAGGCCCTTTTTTCCAGTTATGAAAGAAAATGTTTCTGCGATTCTTTGCCAGCGACGCTTGACAGCATCCTTAGGTCCAAGCCAATGAACTCCCAAATTCAAATCAAAATGAAGCTCTGCAAAACGGGGAATTGAGGGGAAATGCCAGAGGAAAGATCAGATGATCTTTCAGAAGACCAGAAAGATCAGATGATCAGAAGATCAGAAAGATCTGCTCTGCACAACAAAACAGAAATGAGCAAACAAATTCTGATCAAAAGCAGGGGAGAGAGGGGTACGAGCTCTAATTCCCATGAAATGTCCGTGTTCAATTATTAATGCACGGAACGCTCAAATTCTGAGAGTGAGATAAGTGTCTAGGTCAATGAAGGAAAAGGGTGATGCTGATAAACAGGCCAGAATCTTAAAATGTTATTTTTATAGTAATTTCAAGGAACATCAGTTCTGGGAAAAGAAGGGAAAAAAAAAAAAGAACATGACTAATCCAGTAGATTAATCTTTGTTGCCTTAAGTACATTTAAGGGTTGAGGTGTGTCTTGTTTGCTAGCCTCCATTTTTGGCTCTGGAACTAGGGAAAGAGAAGCAATTTCCATTTTTCACTTGCAACTGCAAACGGCCTCTGTAAAACAGGGGATATCTTCCATTCCCGCAGAAGAACAACTTGATTTTTGAGCAGCTCATAGTTCATAAATGCAGCTAACTCATTTTGAAGCCAGGTTTATTCTGTTCATTTCTGTATCCACCGTAGGTCAGCTTTGCATAGGAATATAGGAAAACACAGAAAGGGAGTTCCTGCTTCATGCGGGGGTGTCTCACCCTTTACCTTGCATTGCAAAGAACTGTGAAATAGGTACTTTGTCCTGAAAGTTCATAGAACAGCTATTCCACATACCCATGTGAGGAAAAAAAGGTGTCATCAATATACTTGGTCCTTGCGGTAACAAGTTCGTTTGGGTAAATTCTTAGAGAAAGGACTATGCCTGCACGCTACCGACAAAAAAAAGATCAGCAAACGCTGAATCTCCGTGACTCTTACAGCAGGGGACAACGCCATTCCCACTGCAGATGTGGTGATGGGTGTTACCTGACCTAAGTGCTGGACACCAGCTCACCAGCCAGGTATCTGGAAGACTTGGCTGAAAATTCAGTATTAGTGCATCCTGCCTTCCGGCTGCCTTTAGCTGTAAGGCCCACCTTCAACGTTTCCAAGTAAAATCAACATGCTACTCTTTAGCCTCAAAGCCAATGCCTTTTCAAGTAGCCAACAGAAATTATGGAGAATCATAATTAATATACCAGAAATACCTGCAAAGAATTATGATCAACCAGTAGTAAGCAGGTGTCCTTTATGTCCAGTCTTTTGGGATAAGTCAATGCAATCAGATATCCAGAGATTAATAATCAGAGATCCAAAGGGGAGATTTTAACTCAAGGATCACAGAAATGAAACCATCAAGCTTTACCTTAAAACAGTTTAGGTTCCTTGCTCCACCGTCTAGCATGTAAAGCAATTTTAGAAACTCAGAGGTTCAGAAACATTCAGTTTCCAGAGTAAATTTATTCATGGACCTGGTCTTGTACGAGTGTTACCTTTTAGTTTAAAAAGTTATTTTCTTTGAATTTATTTTAATTATTATATGAATAATAATAATTATAATAATAATTATTATATGAAGTTTTGTCATAACCCATCTCAACCTTCATTTCGCCGACAAAATTAACCATTGTTGCCTCCTAATCTGTGTCCTTACCATGCTCTTTCCTGACCCTGGTCTGACAGGAGTTATTCTGTCTTTCAGCATGGTGTCTGCATATAGACTAAACGAGCTCTTAGCCTGTGAGAAGATACTAATGGTTTCCTTCACTGGAAATCCCGTGGCTGATGCAGAGTAGGATTATCACTTTTGTGTCAGAATGGCGGGTTCTGACACAGGTTAACAATGTCTGCTCTTCCTAAATTACCTCCATCATCAGTGGAGCAAGATGGGCTGCTTCAGGGGGCAGTAGTGAGCAGGAGCCTGGCTGGAGACAATACCATTTTTTTACTGCAAAAGGAAACCCAGTAGATACTCCTTCATTTCATCCGTCTTCCCAATGATTTGCTTCTGCAGAATCATCGGGAAAAAATCGGTACACACAAATCAGTACAAATCAGGAACAAGTACTTGTAAAACATACTAAGTTTGCATAAAATTCTAGTAATTTGGTAAAATGAAGTCACGTTAAGTGACAGAATTTTGCACTGTGTCCATATTAGGAAAACTAATTATTTGGATACATTTTTTAATCTCTACAGGTGGTCGGGCTTTGGAGTGCAGTAGAAGAAATGACTTCACCATCTTCAGCTGTACTGGTTGTTATTTTTGGCTGTTTCATACTTTACGAAATCTGGTTAATTATTGTTGGGGTTTTTTTAATACTTGTAAGTCCTTCTGGGTGAATTTTATAAAACATTTATTGCTTATATAACTACCTAAAATGTTTTTCTTGGTAGACAGCTGTACTGTTTTTGCCAAAACAGATTCTATTTCAATGTTGGGAAATTGTTGGAAAGGTAATACTCCTGTTTTCAGTGGTGCCTGTGCCATGTTATTAAACTAGGCTTTGTGGAGATGAAAAATTGTTCTTGACAGGAATCATAACCATTTGTTTACACTAACTAAGCTGTATGGCTCCATCCCATTTGGAATTCGGTGCCGTTCCTCTCATACAGCGATGCTTAACCCGTAACTTCCTAGCTGCCTGTCAGCCCTCAGAGGTCTCCACCGTAGACTTCTCAAACATTTCATGGCTGTGTCTGGCCCTCCGCGTCCCGGCAGAGATGTAGGCCTGTACTGGACCCGTGAATACTCCTGTTTGGGTGCATCTGAGGAAGTGGAGCTACCACAATCACTGCAAGGACAGAACTGCTAAAAGAGGCCTGGAAGAAATCTCTTTACCTATGTAGCACAGCAGGCAACCACATCATAAACTGAGCAGGTATCTTCCTAAAAGCAGCTAGGTTTCTTGCCATCAATATTTCTGATGAAAAGCTATTATAACAATTAGTGCTCTAATTATTAGCAACCTTGTAATTCCCAGCCTAAATGCGGTGGTGATAGGTTTTATACTCACTCTTCTAGCAAGTATGTAAGCTTAAGCGGTTCTTTTCATAGTTTTTGCCTGACGGATTTGTAGACAAAGGAAGGCTCTCATCAGCCTTTGTTTTGCCTGACTAAATAAGACGTGCTCTTAAAAGTTTCCTGTCATAAGACATTCTTTTCATTTCTCTTACCACTTTTATAGACTTTCTGCGTATGGATTCAAGTCTGACTTCACCCTGAATGTGACTTGTACAAAATACTCCAGGTGACACCTTACTGATGCTTTGCAGAATTTACTAGCTTCATTATCTCTCCTGGAACTTTCCTGGTACGTCCCAGGATCATGTTAGCATTTTCCCATTTTGTGATCAGCTGTTTTTCCTCAGTTTTTCCTCAATGGTTTCCAAACAACTGGCTACAAAGTGAGAATTCTGTAGCGTTTTATTGTTTTTACTGGTCCACTTTGCATGCCTGTTGCTC